TCTTCTTCTTCCTTTTTTTTTTTTTAAGACAGGGTTTCTCTGTATTGCTTTGGAAACTAGCTTTGTAGACCAGACTGGCCTAGAACTCACAGAGACCCACCTGCCTCTGCCTCCCGAATGCTGGGACTAAAGGTGTGCACCACCAACCCACCACCGCCAGGCTTAAAATTTGTTTTATTCTTGAGGATTCCATGCATTTATGTAATTAAATATGAACAAATATATCACTAGTTCCTCCCTTCAAGCTCCTCCACATACCCCTAACATGTCTCCTCCCAACTTTATATCTTAAAAAAAAAAATAACCCATTAAGTTCAGTGTTGCCCATATGTGCATAGGTGTGGGTTTTCCACTGGAATACCCCATTTGACTTCTAGTAGGTGTCTGCAAGTCCTGTAATTGATTTCTACCATCTTACTGTAATTTATTATTTTACATGGAAGCCTCACCAGGGGACACACTGTCTGGAACTCTCGGTATCAGGAAACTGTAACAATAGCCTTAAAGGGGTTTTCCTAGTCTATTTCTCAAGCACATTTTGGGTGCCTGATTTGATATTTTGCATTCCTGTTCTCTCCATCTCTTTTGCTATTTTTTTTAAACTTGGGCTAGTTATGTACATGATAAATTCACTCCTTCAAAACTGAAAGTATGATAATCATAGATTATTTTATGGAACAAAATTTTAAGTAAAATAACTTGAAAAATGTTTAAGACCTAGGATCAAGCAAAGAGTTCCTATATTTGACACCAAAACAATATCCTTAAAACTTCATTGAAATTTAAAAGAGTTGCCATGAGATACACGTTTCATCAAGTAAGGTGATGAGACAAGCTGTAGAACGGGTGGGGTGGGGGAGGAAGAAAATAACTTCCAAACTCCATGTTTGACTCTAGAATAGACAAAGAACTTTCAAAGCACAACAGTGAAAACATGTAAAATCTAACCACAACATGGACAAAACAGAGATATTTCATTGAAGATTATGTGCAATGCACCAGCTATATCCGTCAATATCACAAGCAACAAAACCCGTGACTTAAACAATGAGATGCCAACATACACCTATCATGATACCTAAACAAATAAAGATCATGGTGACACACATGAAAAGCTGGTAAGATGTGGGAAAATATTATTATATTATTAGCGGGAGTGTAAAAATGGTACAGATACTCAGATAACATTTTGGTAGTCACTAAAGAAACTAAAATTAAAATGATTATATTGCCCAACAAGTGATGTCCGTAGCAAAGAAGGTATATACCACATGCAGTTGTACATGAGTATTGCAGAGCTTTATTGTAAGTGATCAGTAACTAGAGGCCAGTCAGATGACCTAATGAAATCATACCACATGATGTTTTTATTTAGCAATGAAAAGGAACAGAAGTATTGACTCACTCAACATCCTGGGTGAATCTCCAAAGCACTATGAATAAAAAGTCAATCGAGAAAGATTATATATTGTATGATTACATTTAAGTAATAATGAAATGATGAAATTATAGAAATGTAAGATATATTATTAGTGGTTGTTGGGGGAATTAAAAGACAGGAGGGCAGTGGGAATGACTGTGAAAGAAAGAATAACTCAGGGGATACTTTTAATAAGTGGAATGAATGAATGGTCTGTGGACTCATGAGTGTGTCAACACTGATATCCTCACTATTGTGTTGTAGTATTGCTTTCTAAGAGGTCACCATTGTTGATGTCAGTTGTGGTGGCACACGTTGGTAGAATTTGTTGAAGGATAGACTTTTTGATTGATTAATATTCCTCCTCATCATTTATGGCAACATAAATATTCTCCTCTCCCTTTGCAAACTTTTCTAGACCTTGCTAGTCATATTCATAGCACTTAGAAAAATTTACTTCTGTGCGGAGAATTCAATTCTGATCTCCAGACTTATCTGTATCAAAGTCTTTTCTACATCAGTGAGCTACTAGAAAACTCATTTTGAGTCTTTGTAACAGAAACTTCTCACTTCTGTTTTATGGCTCAGTTCTTCCTTATTTCTGGAACCTTTAGAAATTCTCCACTTTGTTGAAACCTCGTCTATGCAGTTATAAGAATTTTGTACCCTGACCATCAAGCCCACATCAGATCCAACCTCTTTGTTCAGCCAGACCCTGCACATCTCTTGCCAGGCTCTAGCTGGTTGACTCTGACTAATCCAGTGACCCAGCCTAGCCCAGACAGCCCTGCTGATGTGGTTCACAGATTCCAGGCTCGGACCAGGACCTGTATTAGCCACTCCAACCTACAGGCTTTTCATGCACCACATCCAACTTCTCTGTCCAGCCAGGTCCTGAATATTTTTTGTGCCAGAATCTAGCTGAGCGAGTTCATTGAATCATTCCATTCATGCACCCTTCTCAACCTTCAGATCTACTTCCCAAATGCCATAAATTGCATGCCAGCCCAGGCCTCTCTGTCCATCTAACTTCATTCCACCTAAGCTATGTCCAATATTAGGCTCAACCCTGACTGTATATCCTGTGTTCTGATGCAACCTGCTTTGTCCATATTAGACACAGAACACATAAAAACATCTATACAGTGAAATACAAACAATATGAAAGATAAAGGAAGTATTTCTTCCCCCGAATTCACCAGTCCAATAGGAATGCTTGCCAATAAGAATTACCCAGAAAAAAAAAAACCTATAGTCAGAATTTAAAGGAACAATCATAAATTTCATCAAAGAATTGATGGAGTTTAAAGAAATAGTTTCATGAACTTAAAGAGATTACATATTGGAGTTATACCCAAGAAAATATAAATACAAGGCTGATGGAAATGACAAATGCAATCCATGATTTAAAAATGGAATTCAAAGGCTTTTCAGCACCTAATGAGATGTTCATTTTTTTCTTTCAGTTTCTTTATATGGTGAATTTCATTGACAAATTTTCGTTTGTTGAACTACTATTCCTGCATCTGTGGGGTGAAGCCTACTTGGTCATGGTGGATGATTTTCTTGATGTATTCTTGGATTCAGTTTGCCAGTATTTTGTTGAGTATTTTTGCATCAAAATTCATGAGGGAGATTGGTTTGTAATTTGATTTCTTTGTTCCATCTGTGTTCGGTTTGGGTATTAGGATAGCAGTGGCCTCATAAAAAGAATTTGGCAATATTCCTTTTGTATTGGTATTAGCTGTCCTTTGATATTCTGATAGAATTCTGTGCTGAAACCATCTGGTCCTGGGCTATTTTAGTTGGGAGAGTTTTAATGACTGTTTCTATTTCCTTAGGGGTTATAGGTCTGTTTAAATTGCTTATCTGGTCTTGATATAATTTTGGTATATGGTACATATCAATCATTAGATGCTGAAAAATCCTTTGACGAAATTCAACATCCCTTCATGATAAAGGTTCTGGAGAGAACAGGGATACAAGGAACATACCTAAATATAATAAAGGCCGATAGCCTACATCAAATTAAATGTGGAGAAACTCAAAGTGATTTCACTAAAATCAGGAACAAGAGAAGGCTGTCCACTCTCTCCATATCTATTCAATATAGTACTTGAGGTTCTAGCTAGAGCATTGAGGCAATGAGAGCAAAGGGATACAAATTGGAAAGGAATAAGTCAAACATTCACTATTTGCAGATGATATGATAGTATACATACGTGACCCAAAAATTCCAACAGCTGATAAACACATTCAGTAATGTGGCTGAATACAAGATTTAAAAAAATCAGTAGCCTTCTTCTATACAAATGATAAATGGGCTGAGAAAGAAATCAGAGAAACTACACCCTTTACAATAGCCACAAATATCCTGGGGTAACTCTAATCAAACAAGTGAAGGACCTATATGACAAGAATTTTAAGCATTTGAACAAAGAAATTAAGGAAGAGAACAGAACATGGAAAGATCTTCCATGCTCATGAATCAGTAGGATTAACGTAGTAAAAATGGTAATGTTACTAAACTCAGTCTATAGATGCAATGCAATCTCCATCAAAATCCCAACACAGTTCTTCACAGACCTCAAAAGAACAATACTCAACTTTATATGGAAAAACAAACAAACAAAAGAAAGAATAGCCAAAAAAATCCTGTACAATAAAGGAATTTCTGGAAGTATCACTATCCTTGACTTCAAGCTCTACTATAGAGTTATAGTAATAAAAAGTTTGGTATCCACACAAAAATAGAGAGGTGGATCAATGGAACTGAATTCAAGAGCCTGACATCAACCTACATACCTATGAATATCTAACTTTTTTAAAGAAATGAAATATGAACATATTTCTTTATTAGTATGCTCAAGAGTAAACATTATTTTCTCTCTCTTCATGTGATAGACAATACATTTTACCCATGTTGTGGGAGGAAAAGGATAGGGGCTCCCAAAGTGAGTGTCAAACAGCTTCACAAGAAATCCCCATTCAACCAAGGACAGGATGTTCCTGATAGCACTGTCTCTGCTGTAAGCTCCAGCCATGAAATCCTTTGTTCCAGCATGAATTGACTATTTTGTTCTTGCTACTCTTCAAGATCCAAACAGTCAAACTCACCCAGGCTGCCTCTGAGTCTGCAGGCCATCCCTTTGGATTGTTACTGCCTTGATACCTCAGTAGGGAATGGGATGAGAATAAAAGGTTACACATATCAAAAACACATTAATAAATGACACTTAGGTATAGGCTTAATATTATCAAACTTCCTCTTCAAATGATGGTGGGCCAGAGGACTTCTACCCAAAGAAAGATCTTCAATCACGGTAATATTTATGGAAATTTTGTATGCAAAAGCATAAGGGGACTAGTGTTAACGTCCTGCACAGAGGAATGAGTTCGAAGATGAAAGTAGATACTATACCTGGTTTGAGTTTTTCCTGTTCTAAAATAGTGACATTCTGCTTCTCACCTATCTTAGGTATCATTTCTTTTCTTTTCTTTCTTTCTTTTTTTTTTGAAGATGAAAAAATGGTATAAGTTGAGGACAAAGTAACCCTGTAAGACAATAAAACTACAAAAACCAGATGTAGTACAATATTTATAATAGAAACTGGCTGAAAACACTACATGCTAACAGACAACATGATACACAAGTAGGATGGGCACAGACAGGAAAGGGCAGAGGCCTACACCAAGAGCCTTTCAATGGACTGCTGAATGGACTGGATCTTCTGCTTTAGCTGAAGCCTTCTTTGATGGTAACAGAACAGGTGATGACAGGTCTGGATACCCCACAGGCCCGTCCTAGGGCCTGCTTGGAGTGCACAAATACACAGGGGACATTCTTGTCTTCACACTGTAATGGGAGGTGCAGGATGATTTCCAAGGGCTCAGCGTTTGCTGCAATCAAAATGAACTCAGAGATGCCCCCATTGAGGGTTTTGGTAGTTTCATTGGCTCCTTTCCGAAGCTGCTTGTAGTTACAGGACTGCTGAACAAGGTCTAGCAGCTTCTTGGTGAGGTGGGCATCTGCTAGGGTATGGGCTTGCGGATTCACACCAGCCTCCATCATGGCTGTGGTGTGCTGGCCTCGCCATCATTCAAGAACAGCTCACCTCAGTCAGACTGAAACGCCGTACAGAAAGAGGAGTGGAAATCGAATACCTAATTTTTAACAAAGAGGCTAAAATTGTGCAATGGAATAAAGAAAGCATCTTCAACAAATGGATAACTATATGGTGGCATGTAGAAGAATGAAAATAGATCCATATCTATCACCCTGCACAACACTCAAGTCCAAGTGGATCAAAGATCTCAAAAAAATCCAGCTACACTGAAACTGATAGAAGAGAAAGTGGAAAACAGCCTTGAACACATTGGCATAAGAGAACACTTCCTGAATATAACACCAATACCATAGACACTGAGATCAACAATTAATAAATGGATCTCCTGAAACTGAAAAGATTCTGTAGGGGGAAAGGACATGGTCAATAAGACAAAACAGTAGCCTACAGAAAGGGAAAAGATATTCACCATCGACGGAGGACTGATATCCAAAATATATAAAGAACTCAAGAAACTAGACAACAAAATACCTAATAATTCCATTTAAAAATGGAATACAGATTTAGACAGAGAATTCTCAACAGAAGAATCTTGAACAGCTGAGATATATTTTAAGAAGTGTTCAATATCTTTAGCCATTAAGAAAATGCAAATCAAAATGACTCTGAAATACTATCTTATGCTTGTCACAATGGCCAAGATCAAATACACTAATGACAGCTTATGTTAGAGCGGATGAGGAGTAAGGGGAGCACTTCTCCATTGCTGGTGGGAGTGCAAACTTTGGAACTCAGTATGGTGGTTTCTCAGAAAGCTGGAAATGGTATAAGTGGTATAAGTCTTGGGCAAATACCCAAAGGATGTTCAACCATATCAGAAGGACACTTGCTCAACTATGTTCATAGAAGCATTATTTGTAATAGCCAGAACCTGGAAACAAGATAGATGCCCCTCAGCAGAAGAATGGATAAAGAAAATGTGGTATATCTACAAAATAAAGTATTTCTCAGCAGAAAAAAACAAAACCAAAACCAAAAACAAACAAACAAACAAACAAACCAATGACATCATGGAATTTGCAGGCAAATGGATAGAACTTAATAAAATCATCCTGAGTGAGGTAACCCAGACCCAGAAAGACAAACATGATATATACTCACTCATAAGTGGATATTAGATGTAAAGCAAAGGTTACTAGGCTACAATCCTCAGCCCCAGAGAAGCTAAGTAACAAGGAGGACCCTAAGAGGGATGTATGGATCTCCCTGGGAAGAGGAAGTAGATGAGATGTCCTGGGTAAATTTGGGGTGGGGAGATGATGGATAAGAACATGATGGCCAAGTTGTCGGTGGAACAGAGGGGGATAATGATGGGGGACAAACCTTGATAGAGAGAACCATTATGGGGTTATGGAGAAGCTTGGTGCCTGGGAACCCACAAGGATGACTTCAGCTAAGATTCCTAGCAATAGTGGAGAGGGTGCCTGAACTGGAATCAGATTGGTAACTGCCCTAGTTGTCTTCACAGAGCCTTCATCTAGTACCTAATGGAAGCAGATGCAGAAACAAGGAGCAGCAGCCAAGCACTGGGTCAAGCTCTGGAGGTCCAGTTGAAGAGAGGGTGGAGGGATTGTGTGAGCAAGGGGGGTGGAGGGTTGAGGGTGAGTGGGTCAAGATTATGATGGGAAAACCTGTAGAGATAGCTGATCTGAACTTCTGGGAGTTCACAGACACTGGAAAGTTGGCTAGGGAGCCAAAACGGAACTGACCTAGGCCCTCTGTATCTGGGTGACAATTGTGTATCAATCATGGTCTTTTTGTGTGGCCCTACTGGTGGGACCAGGAGCTGTTCCTTATGCATGAGCTGGCTCTTTGGAACCTATTCCCTATAGTGGGGTGCCTTGTTCAGCCTTGACACAGGGTCCTCATCTTGATGTGCCATGCTTAGTCGATTACCACAGGATGCCTTATCTCATCTGAGTGGAGGTGGAGGAGAAGTGAATGGGCAATAGTACTGGAAACCGACTAACTAATCAGTGCAAATGAAGTGATGCTTATTGGAGAAGACTCTACAAGCACTAACTACTAAACTAGCATAATACCTAACGACCATACATGAATATTTGTCTTTATTTCCACAGGTAAGCATAGTCTTTACTCCTGATTAAGGAAACAGATGGGGACCATTACAGAAGACCATAACCAAATAAAGTGCAGAGTTGTGGAACCCAGTCCCTGTGAATACATCTACAAAACACTCCCACATTTATGGTAATGTCAGAAGCTACAACCATAAAGTCTTACCAATATGACTGCCCCCAAATGAACTGAACAAGGACAACACCAGCGGACATGCCAAAGTAGAGAAGAAAAAGTCCACAAGGCCTCATTTCTACACAAAGAACTACTAGAAAATGAATAAAGCCCAAAGTGAGAGAGGTGGTCTTCACTGGGAAGAACATACCAATTGGCTATTCAGTGACAGTCAGTCATGAAAACATACATACAAATAACATCCTATGGACTGAGCAGATTATATTTAGGAATATATACATATACATATATTTATACCATAACAATTAATGAAAAAGGATGCTATGAGTTTGAAGGAAAGCACAGAAGAGCATATGGTAGGGTTTGAAGGGAATAAAGGGAAGAGGGAAATATTGTAGTTATAATCTCAAAAATTAAAAAATATTGCATGAACATTTCAAAGAATAAAAGCACTATTTAAAAAATATTACTGAGCAGTAATGTTATATGACATATTTTTCCCAGAGTGACACCACACACACACACACACACACACACACACACACACACACACACACACTGTATTCATTCAGAAAGGGTGTCTATGATAGACCAAAGAAGTAATACTTGCAGCAATGTCCTCAAGAACCTTTCAGGTTTTTGTTCTTTCAGACATGTGACCTTTAATTTACCTCCTGTTTACCACCAGAGGCTCATGGGCCTCACTTTCCCTCCTGGAGGAAACGTTTTAAATTGGAGAGAATGCTGAAATTTGAAGGAACACCGCACACAGTTGGTGACTAAGCAATCTCATGATTCTGATAACTCTGTTAACCATGACAGTTTCTTCACATTGTTGAACAGTTACTAAAGGATGTAGGTATTAATATTAGACAGTGACTCACATGCAATGCCTGGGGTTCCTGTAGCAAGAGCAATGGAGAGGTATGTTTTTCCATTTTTTTAAAAATTTAATTTCACTTTACATTCCAACCACAGTTTCCCCTCCCACCCCCAACTTCCTCCCACTCCCCTGCCTCACCCCCCTCCCCAAGCTTACCCCCAATCCACTCCTCCTCACAGGTAAGGGCTCCCATGAGGAATTAACATAGTCTGGCACAATAGGTTGGGCCAGGGTCAGACCCCTCTCCCATGCATTAAGACTGGCATCCTACCATAGGGAATGGGATTCAACAAACTAGTTCATGTACTGGGATAATATGGTGGTCCTACTGCCAAGGAGCATGGCATCCCATCCTAAGGAGTGGACTTTAATAAGCTAGCTCATGATCCAGGTTTGTATCATGATCCTACTACCAGGGGCCCCTCTGATAGTTCAAGCTTCACAATTGTCTCCCACATATGGAGGGCCTAGTTTCATCCCCTGGAGTCCCCACAGTTATAGGTCTAGAGTTCATGAGTTTCCATGAGCTTGGTTCAGCTGTCTCTGTAGATTTCTCCATCATGATCTTGACCTCCCTTGCTCATATGTTCCCTCCTCCCTCTCTTCACATGAATTCCCAGAGTTCAGCCTGATTCTTGGTTGTGGATCTCTGATTCTGGTTCCATCAATTATTGGATGAGGGCTCTCTGATAATAGTTGGGGTATTCATCAATCTGATTACAGGGATAGGACACTTCAGGCATCTCTCTACTATTGCTGGGAGCCTTAGCTAGGGTCTTCCTTGTGGATTCTTGGGAGTTACCTTAGCAGCAGGTTTCTCTCTAAGCCCATAGTAGCTCTCTCTATTAAGATATGTCTTTCATTGCTCTCCCACTGCATCCCTCCCCACCTCAGCATCTCGTTCTCTCCTGTTCTCATTTTCCCTCCCCTTGCCCCTTGCCACTCCCTGCCCCCAGCTTGTCCTGTAGATATTATCTAATTTTCCTTCCATAGGGTGATCTATGTGTCATCCCTCTTAGGGTCCTCCTTGTTACCTACCTTCTATGGAGCTGTGAATTTTAGTCTGGTTTTCCTTTGTTTTACATCTAATATCCACTTATGAGTGAATACACATCTTGTTTGTCTTTCTGAGTCTTGGTTACCTCATTCAGGATGTTTTTTCTAGTTCCATCCATTTGCCTGAAAATTTCATGAGGTCATCATTCTCTCTCTCTCTCTTTTTTTAACAGCTGACTAGTACTCCATTGTGTAATTGTACCACATTTTCCTTATCCATTCTTTGGTTGAGGGGCAGCTAGGTTGTTTCTAGGTACTGGCTATTAAGAATAATGTTGCTATGAACATTGCTGAGCAAATGTCCTTGTGGTATGATTGAGCATCCTTTGGGTAAATGCCCAAGAGCGGTATTGCTGGGTTTTGAGGTAGACCAATTCCTATTTTCCCGAGAACCCACCGTACTGATTTCCAAATAGCTGTACAAGTATGCATCCGACCAGCAGTGGAGGAAGGAGTGTTCCCTAGAGAGTTGTTTTTGAGGAAGGTGCAAAGAGGAGTCCAGAGGGTCCTGCAAAGTTGGCAGCAATGAGCACAACTGTAAGGTTGTTTCTACTCAGTGTTCTTCACATCTTCCCTATCCAGTTACTCATCTAGGATCAGTTTTTAAATTCCATGTCTCACATTATCCTCAAGAATATTCTAGATACTGGTGCAAAATCGGAGCTGAGATATATCATTCTCTCTCTGACTCACATGTTTCAGACTAACAACCATAACACCCAAGGATCATCATTGTGAAGCAAGCCTACACATGCCTTCCTTACCCATGATATCTGGCAACAGTTCTTGAAA